GAGTAAGGGCCGTCCACAGCTGTAAAAACACCACCATTACTGACTCAAAGCTTAAACCTCTACACTTTTGTTGATTCCGTTGTTTTCATGAGTTCTGAGAGGTCAGCTATAAGCTACTTTCCCTGTAGCAGGTGGGATGTCCTACGCGGAGATTATTTGTAGAGGGGGGTTTAACACAGCCATGCCAAGTACTGAGGCGACTGGTTTCACAAGAAGCCTGAAACTCAACAGAAATGCATTTTCCCATGGGATTTTTTTTGTATCCACATTAGAGTATATTGGAATACATCCATTAGTATGTGCATTAATATTTTTGGTTGGATGGAAAAGTGGCTGGTGTTTCTTTGCTAGTGACTTGCATCTTTGTTTATAAAAAACGTTTATTTTGTATTTTATTTATTTATTTGAGATCAATTTATTTATCCATAACTGTGTTTATTAGCTGTATATTGAGGAAAAACTGTGAGCTAAATGCAAAATATGCTAAATTTTATTTTGCATTAAAAAATAATAAAAATTAAATAAAAAATGTAAAAAAAAAAATATGTCCAAAATGTGTCATTTTAGTGATTTTAGTAATTGGATATTATTATTATTATTATTTCAGATCCCCTGATGTGGCAGTTGTGGCATATTTTTGTGATAAATGAATTCATATTTGCTTAATTACTAACTTAAATATCCTTCTTTGATACCTTGATTTGAGCATCATTCGTTTCCTTTTATAAAAAGATGCCACCCCATAATGCACTGCAACAGGCTCAGTGAAAAACAAAATAAAAAATCGCAGACGAAGCGAGAGAAATGTTAATGATGAATATAATTGCTAATTATAATAATAATAACTGTTTTAAAAATCGAGTTATTGCCTAATTAAAGTGCTCCACATCACTCACTATGAGGTTAGGATGCTCCCTTAGAAGGCAGCTGTCTATGTAGGCGGTAGATAGCCCACTAGATTTCACAAGAGAGCTTGTATTCCTCCCATCGGCATCAAACAAAAACAGATGCCAAAATGCCCATGAGACAAAATGTGAATTTAAAACACGTGGTCTCCTTTGTTATTTCTCAATGGGTGAGAAATTCAACACTTTTGCCCTTGTGAGTCTACACAAGTGTTCGTACAGGCTCGAAGGGTGTAGTGTACGAAATACACTCCTCAGCGAAGTCACACTGGGAATATTGCTGTACAGTTCTCCATGCGAGGAGGATTTCTGACCTCTTGCACATCATGAATTGTTCAGGGCTACAAACATGCAGATCGTTTTAAAGCTGCGGGGGCAGAGCCCGAGTGTGACTGTCTATGATGGGAAATCACTCTGAGCTTCAGAATCTATTCCAGTTGGATACGATCAGCTTATAGGGAGCTATGGGACACATCCAATCCAATCCCAGTGAAGTAGACCCGGGATGTGTAATGAATGGCTCTGTGGGCATCTTTCTCAGCCAGTGAACAACCTCCCAGCCTCCTCCCCCCTAGCGAAATGAATCAATGCTGCAGTTTAAAAATAACAAGGAATATTATCCACTTCATGCATTGCTGAGTGAACCGAATGCATTGAATGCTCTCTGACAGGCTGCGTCGGAGCAGAATGTGTTTGGGCTCTTCTGCACACTGGTCGCAGATCACGATGCAGGGTGTGGTGGGCTTTTAAACGTTGCACTGTGGAGGCTGTCCAAACAGCCCCATGATTCTGGCTGTATAACTCATTTCTCTGTGGTGTAATGCTTCTCCATATAAGCCGTCATGCTGAGTTAGGTGTGGAAGACAGGATTAGAAAATGGCCTCCTCGAATAGGGCGACCTCACCGTCGTGCACTTTTCTGAGTTCAATTCCAAGGTGGTCCATTCGTGCAGTTTTAAATACAAGTTAAGCTCAGTAGACAGCGTAATGCTGATTGCCTCAAACAGTAAGTTGGGACTTGTTCCTCGTTTTAAGGCAAATATCGAGTTTAAGGTGAGACACTTAGAAGTGAATGGGGCTGATTTAAGAGCAGTAATGTGAAGCTTATTATTTTATAAAAGTACTTACACTTTCAATCAAAAGTTTGGGGTCAGTAAGATATTTTTTCTTGAAGTAAAGTAATACTTTTATTCAGCAAGAATGCATTAAATTGAGCAAAGGTGACAGTAAAGACATTTATAATGTTACAAAAAAATCATGTGACACTGAAGACTGGAATAATTCTGCTTTACCATCACAGGAATAAATTGCATACATTTTAAAATATATTTAAATAGAAAATAGTTGTTTTAAATTGTAATAATATTTAACTGTTTTTACTGTATTTTTAATCAAATAAATGCAGTGTTGGTGAGCATAAGAGACTTCTTTCCGAACTATTAAAAAACTCTTTCCTAGTGTATCTAAACCTTACACTAAACCTAGTGTATCTTCATTTTTTCTGTTTAAAACTTGTGCTGTAAAGCGGTTTCAAATCATCATTTTGCAGTCTTTTTAGGGTTTAAGGAGTTACATGGTCATGGTGACAACGTTGAATATGAATATAACTTAAAACAGAAAAGAATAGTTAAAATAATGTTAACGTGCATAATATTGTTTATGTCTTGTGGCTATCCTATTGAAACAATGACTATTTTGGTGTTTACTTGGTGCCCCATTCACTTCCTTTGTGCCTCACTGTAAATCTGCCCCTTTACAAAAATTGTGGAAACCAACATTACGCCACAAATTCTGTTGATTGAGTATCACATCACACAAATGCTTTATGTAGATATGGAAATACAAAGTCAGTAAAGCTCTCTCTCTCTCTCTCTTTGTTTCTCTATTATATTATTCAGTTCTGTAATGCCCAGGATTTTACCCAGGCATTACACTAAGATTACTGAAGAGAACCAACAGTTATGCCTCTAAAGGAAGAAGTGGGAGATTAAAGCTCGGCTAGGATTGTCACATCTCATCCAGCTGTGCTCTCCTAACAGGAAGAGAGAGGTCAGGATATGTAGGTCATAGCACCTGCCTTGTTTGAGGGCTCAATTATCCCTCAAATGGCATCAAACCACAGACACTTCACCCGACAGGACAGACCCTACATCATCGGGTGAGGTGTACGGAGGCAAACATTACTGACACAAGCTACGCTTTTGGTAGTGCTGCTGAGCACCAGCCTCCTATTTGATGACATGAGAGGACAGGATGTGGCAGGGAAAAGGAGACGAGAGACGCCATCACCGCTTCCTGGACGTCTAGTCACAGAGTGGACAATGGCCTTTGTGTCCTCCATCTGGCTGAATATGATTGTAAAAGAGGATGTAAACCTGTGGATGTGTTTGTGTGTGAGCTGTGTGGGGGTTTTTTTGGGCACATCCTGCAACCTTTCCCATGTCATTGCATTGACCAGGACCTCTTCCTAAAAGTTCTGCATTAAGTATTATTTACACTAATTTAATCATGCCTAATTGATCTGACTATGAAATTAAATTGTAAAAGACATTTTTGTAATATTTTAAAGTTTGTTGACATCCACCTCATACTGATGTATGCACAGATAAATAGCAGTACTTCAGCTCTTTGGTGTATGGAAGGGCCCTTGCTGTGAGAATGGTCACAAATGCGACTAAAAATGTGTGAACATTATTCCGAAATCTAATCAGGGAAGCTTTGTGCTGTTTCACCAGATCCTGCAGTGTTGTTATTGTTAACTGAAAGTAATAAAAATGTCCTGTAATGAAATATAAAATATTCATTAAAATATAAAATAACTAAATGAAATATAATAAAATAGAAATAAATATAAAACTGAATCTGATATAAAATAAATTGGAGCTAAATAGAAACATTTAAAAAGAAAATAAATAAAAAAAGACAAAAGTACATACTACAATTAAAAGTTAAAATGAAAACAAAATATAAAAATAAAACAATTTAAAATATGAATAATACTTTTATAGTAAGTAATACTAAAATAACACTGGATCCTACTAGGGAGCGTTTTCTGCACAAGGTCCTGATTTGTGATCAAATGACTCTTATGAACTGATTCTTTTGAATGATTTAGTCAAAAAGATTCAACTTGCTCACTCGTAAATCATCCTAAGCCATTACTCAGTTGACAACTGACTCCCTCACTGAGTCCGATTCTACATAAACCGAGAATCGTTACAGAGATTTTAGATTTGTTCAAAATGACATAATTCTATTTACTCCCTGGTTGCTAACATGACAAAGAGTTTACAAAAATGCCTAGCAATTGATGGCCATTAAAATTTCAGTGCCCTGAATATATGCTCTATCAGGAAAAATATTTGAATGGAAGATTATGACACAAAATTACCACAGACATGCAGTGGTTGTTTATGGATGGTGTTCAATCGCTTATCCATGGTGAACCCAATGCTTTTAACCGACCAGCTTTTCATAGGGAGTTAACCTGTAACCTTTTAAAGTGGTAGAGAAAGTGTTGAGGTTTATAGGTCGTGTTGGTTCTATGCAAATAGAGCAAATGTTTTTCTTCCTCTGTGAACCTACCGACTGAACAGCATTGCTAGATTCATTTAAATACATTTTCTTGATGTTGGACAAAAACGAAGAGACACACACTTCTAAAAATAGTACGGACTTCAAAGTTGACCTTTTTGATTTAACATGTTTATTAGTGACTACGTGAACTTAGTGAGCCCCTTTGGCCTTCACTTTAAAGCAGTCAGCTGTTATTCATAACACAGAACGGAGACTGCCAGTCAGCCTCCACAATTATCTGTGTTGGGACGCTTTTACATCAGTGATGTTTGTTGTGAGAGTGAAACTAAAAATGGCTGGTAACATATCCGTTCACAGCTCACAGGGATGCGAAGAATGTGTTTTGTCAGGGTGGAGGGGGACGACTGTTAATTGAGTTTCATGAATCTTTAAAAGAGTTGAGCGGTACCAATATCGCATGTAGTTTAGGTCGCAACGACACCCCTGAAATGTCAGTGGGCGATGTTCAAGTTGTTAATTCAACATAAAACTGATGTTTGTCTTCATCTTCTCGTTGCAGGCTACATCAGCACCTTGGCAGTCATCCTCAAGACGACGAATGAAAAACCATGGGTCAATGAGTTTGAATGTAAGGCTGAGTAATTTACTCTCCTGCAGTCTTTAGCTGCGGATTCTAACATTAAACTCGGCATTTGAACTGCTCACAAGCTCTCTCGTTTTGTCTCCCCATGCAGCAATCGAGCTGTCCTGCATGATAGAGTCGATCACCACTTCTAATCCTAGAATAGAATGGAAGAAGATTAAGAATGGAGAGCCCAGTTATGTATATTTTGAAAAGGAAATAGCAGGTAAACTATACAACACTCTTCTGAACACTGTGCCATACAACACATTGATGCATACTATTTTACTGTAAGGTTGGCTAATGCAATAGTAAACATATCATTTGTTAATTCTAAATATACTACCGGTCAAAAATTTGGGGCCGGTAAGATTTTTTTTTTCCTTTTTGAGGAAGTCTCTGATGCATTTATTTGATCAAATTAAAACAGGAAAACAGCAATATTGTGAAATAATTGTTTTCTATTTTAATTTATTTTAAAATGTAATTTATTCCTGTGATTGGGAAATATACATTTTTAGCATCATTACTCCAGTCTTCAGTGTCACATGATCCTTCAGAAATCATTCTAAAATGCTGATTTGCTGCTTAAGAAACATTTATTATTATCAATGTTGAAAACAGTTGTGCTGCTTAATATTTTAGAAATCTTATTTAAGATGATAAATGTCTTTAATGTCAATGATCAATTTAATCTGTGCTTGCAGAATAAATGCATTACTTTCTGTCCAAAAAAATAATAATTAATGCCCCCCAAATTTTGTACTAATTAAAGTACTAGAAATAAATATGAATGAACAATAAACAATTATATTTATACATAAACATTCACCCAGATTAATGTTGTAAAAAAGATGGTAACAATTTGGAAAATCCTTTTATAATAAAATTTAATTTGTCAACAGTTAACAATAACAGCTTACTTGAACAAACCATGAACAATACAGCATTTATTAATATAGGTTAATTTCTACATAACTTAATACATTTTAACACTTAAAATGATATAAATTAACATCTGGTAAAATATTCTAAACAAACACCAATTAACAATGAATAATAGAGTGGTTCTATTATTATACACTCACCGGCCACTTTATTAGGTACCCCATGCTAGTAACGGGTTGGACCCCCTTTTGCCTTCAGAACTGCCTCAATTCTTCGTGGCATAGATTCAACAAGGTGCTGGAAGCATTCCTCAGGGAGTTTGGTCCATATTGACATGATGGCATCACACAGTTGCCGCAGATTTGTCGGCTGCACATCCATGATGCGAATCTCCCGTTCCACCACATCCCAAAGATGCTCTATTGGGTTGAGATCTGGTGACTGTGGAGGCCATTTTAGTACAGTGAACTCATTGTCATGTTCAAGAAACCAATTTGAAATGATTAGAGCTTTGTGACATGGTGGAAGTGGCCATCAGAGGATGGGTACATGGTGGCCATAAAGGGATGGACATGGTCAGAAACAATGCTCAGGTAGGCCGTGGCATTTAAACGATGCCCAATTGGCACTAAGGGGCCTAAAGTGTGCCAGGAAAACATCCCCCACACCATTACACCACCACCACCAGCCTGCACAGTGGTAACAAGGCATGATGGTTCCATGTTCTCATTCTGTTTACGCCAAATTCTGACTCTAACATCTGAATGTCTCAACAGAAATCGAGACTCATCAGACCAGGCAACATTTTTCCAGTCTTCAACTGTTCAATTTTGGTGAGCTCTTGCAAATTGTAGCCTCTTTTTCCTATTTGTAGTGGAGATGAGTGGTACCCGGTGGAGTCTTCTGCTGTTGTAGCCCATCCGCCTCAAGGTTGTGCGTGTTGTGGCTTCACAAATGCTTTGCTGCATACCTCGGTTGTAACGAGTGGTTATTTCAGTCACTGTTGCCCTTCTATCAGCTCGAACCAGTCTGGCCATTCTCCTCTGACCTCTGGCATCAACAAGGCATTTCCGCCCACAGAACTGCCGCTCACTGGATGTTTTTTCTTTTTCGGACCATTCTCTGTAAACCCTAGAGATGGTTGTGCGTGAAAATCCCAGTAGATTAGCAGTTTCTGAAATACTCAGACCAGCCCTTCTGGCACCAACAATCATGCCACGTTCAAAGTCACTCAAATCAAATTTCTTCCCCATACTGATGCTCGGTTTGAACTGCAGGAGATTGTCTTGACCATGTCTACATGCCTAAATGCACTGAGTTGCCGCCATGTGATTGGCTGCTTAGAAATTAAGTGTTAACGAGCAGTTGGACAGGTGTACCTAATAAAGTGGCCGGTGAGTGTATATTATTTATGTTCTATTATTATTATTATTATAAATTAACATTAAGCTAGATTAACAAATGCTGTAAAGGTATTGTTCATTGTTAGTTCAAGTTAGCTAATGTACCAAATGTTACTGTAAATGTTATCAAATTGAAACTCATGAAACCTAATACGTCAACCAATGTCAATGACTTGAAACGCATTTCCTCACATTACATCAGTATTTAGTAAGCGTTTGGGCTTGGAGTATAATTTACATCACATTGCATGTAGGGGAACAGCTTTCAGTCCACCCATTTCAACCAACTGTGTACCTTCTCTCGTTTTCATTTTCTCCAGGTGACCTGGAAAAGAGAGCGAAAATTCGAGAACCTGCAACCTTAGTCATTCTCAACGCAACAAGATCTGACACTGCTGATTACCGCTGTGAAGTCACCGCCCCCAGTGACCAAAAATCCTTCGATGAGATTTTGATATCACTCGTTGTAAGAGGTGAGCGGTTCCACTCAATCTATTGATTATTGCCTGACAACCCCACAGTACTGTGCCGGTGTGCCCTGTGCTGAAATGGGTATTTTTTTAGAGGAATTTTCAATCTGTTGTAGACATTGTTAGTACTTCCCAACTGCTACGATGTAACATGAGATGGAGTGGCGAGCCAACGCACCCACCCTTGGCGCACATTTGAGGATGCTTGCGCAAACCCTACAGGGCGTGTCCGGGGCTATATGAGGAAACCTCTGAAACTGCATCTGAGTTTAATCAGGGATCTAAAAGGGGAAAGAGCAGCATGTTCAGTTAGCCAGGATGCTTGCAGTCAGTCACTATGGTGCATGTGTGTGAGGATGCTATTGTCTGTGCAGTTACGTTAAGATGATTCTCTTGTGTGCCATGCAGTGAAGCCCGTCGTGCCCAGATGTTCCGTACCCAAGTCCGTCCCGGTGGGCAAACCAGCAGAACTGCATTGTGTGGAGGATGAGGGCCACCCGAAGTCCCAGTACCAGTGGTTCCGTAACAAAGAGGAAATCCCAGAAGACCCCAAGACCAGCCCAAAGTTCTTAAACTCCACTTACACCCTGAACGGAGAGATGGGCACTCTGGTGAGTTCGGAAAAAGAGGCAATGGGGTAGGCGTAGGGATATTTTTGGGGAGCCAGTTGATGTGCGATGGGCTCAGCCATGAGGGGAATCTGCTGCCCTCATTTTCACATTCCAGAGTGCCATTCTCCGCCATTTGTACTCGGTGCCCTCGACAACCTTCACACCACTTTTTTAAAGTTTGACCTGCGCTGCAGCACAGCCTCTTCCCCCTAAGGAGGCAACGTCTGAAGGCCCGACTGGGTCCTTGTATATTATTATATATATATTATATTATTCCCTATATTTATTCAGTTTAATCAGTTTTTGGTACCTAATTTTAGGTGACAAAAATGACATTTTAATTGATGCAAGAGTTGAAAATGAAACCAAATATTTTAACCATTTAGTATATTTTCTTCCTTAAATAACATTGTTAGTTCATTGTTAATATCCTGCGATGCAGTTTTTTTCAACAGCACGTTTTAAATAAAAACGTGTAATTATTGCTATAATGCACAATAAAAAAACAAACTTTATTAACCCTTCAGTGTTTTGTTGACAGGTTAATACTGCTGCTTAGAAACACACCCTATATACTGCTCAAAAGTTTAGGGTTGGTAAGATTTATTAATGTTTTAAAAAAGTCTCGGTAACACTTTACAATAAGTTTTCATTTGATATCAATAGTTAATGTATTAACTGACATGATCTAACCATGAGCAATACATTTGTTACTGTAAATTTGTTAATCTTTGTTAACGTTAGTTAATAAAAAAACACAGCTGTTCATTGTTTGTTCATGTTAGTTCACAGTGCATTAACTAATGTTAACAAGATTTTAATAAAGTATTAGTAAATGTTGAAATTATCATTAACAAAGATTAATAAATGCTGTATAAGTGCCGTTCATTATTAGTTCATGCTAACTAATGTAGTTAACTAATGAACCTTATTGTAAAGTGTTACTGAAGTCTCTCATGCTCACCAAGCCTGCATTAATTTGATCAAAAATACTGTAAAACAGTAATATTGTGAAATGTTATTACAATTTACAATACTGTAACTATTTTCTATTTGAATATAATTTCAACGTAATTCCTGTGATGGAAAAGCTGGATTTTCAGCATCATTACTCCAGTCTTCGGTGTAACATGATCCTTCAGAAATCATGATTTGGTGCTCAGGAAACATTTCTTCTTATTACCAATGTTGAAAACAGTTGTGCTGCTTAATTTTTTTTCCCAGGATTCTTTGATTAATAGAAAGTTCACTTTTGATCAATTCAATGTGTTTTTGCAGAATAAAAGACATTTCGTTAAAAAAATATATCTTACTGACCTAAACTTTTTTTAAGTTTCAACACTGTAGGTCATTATGCGAAATGATTTGTCAACTTAATGACTGTAATTTATGTTCTTCAGAAATTCAGTGCGGTCAGGAAGGAGGATGCGGGAGAGTACTACTGCAGAGCCAGGAATGAGGCTGGGTTCTCTGAATGTGGACCGCAGTTGATGGAAGTTTGTACGTATTTATATTGCCTATTCACATGTGACAGGACACCCCTCAAATCCATGATCTCACACTTTGCCCTTTTTTTCTAGATGATATCAACATTGCTGGAATTATCCTGGGCGTAGTGGTTGTGGTGACCGTCCTTCTGTGTATAACAGTGGGCATCTTCTGTGCCTATAAACGAGGCTACTTCACCAGCCAGAAGCAGACGGGAAACAAGTAAGCGCGTGACTTTGACAGCGACTTCCGTCTGAGTCACACTCGGTCCCAGAGCAGTTTTGACTCACCGTTTCATAGCTTTTACCCATTTCGTCACCAAAGAAGCTCCTGAATGTTCCCAGCTTATCCTTAACATCACATTTAGCTTGTTCAGATATATGAAATAAATGTAGTTTTAATAAATACTGATATGATATAGTGGTGACTGACTGCTTAATGTTTTTTTTTTCTTAGTTACAAAGCTCCAGCAAAAGGAGATGGAGTGGACTATGTCAGAACAGAAGATGAGGTAGGTGGAAATAAAGAGATTTTTATTTATTTATTAAGGCTTCCAAGAGCTTAAGAAATTCTGAGAAAATTCAAGGAATCAGTTAAACCTCCTTTACTCAATCTTCTCTCTTTCAGGGGGATTTCCGACACAAATCCTCATTTGTCATCTGAGTGGAGGAAGACGGATGATGGAAGAATTACATTTAAAGTTATTGGCACTATTATACCTCGCAGACACAAATCCCCAAATGTGGACACAGATGTCGGAGCTGCCATGGCACGTGCCTTGCTTTTTGGCACGTCTGCAACGACACAATTTGTAATTGCCAAAGGTGACAAATAATCATGTCTGATCACTGTTTAAAGACACTAGATATGTATTGTTTCTTTAATTCAACTTTTACAGCCCCTTTTTACAGCTGACTAAAATGTTGCCTGTTGTAAAATTTTGGCAGAACCCGATATACAGCAAGAAAACGGTTTCCTTGAAATCTTGTGTCATTTTTAAAAAAAACATTTGTTTTGTACTAGCTAAATTTGTCAGACTATTTTTGATGGAATATATTTTGAAATGCCTATAGAATAAATTGTTTTACTTTTTTAAATATTTGTAAAATACTAACATAGAAGCTAGGTTTTTTTTTTTTTTGACTAATTTGGGGGTGAGAGACACCATTTCCACCCACTTCACATCCTTGGTTTTAACAATTGGACATGCAAATAATGTACCAGACCACTTGACGTTGTGGATGTTTCGTTTTGTTTCAAATCCTTTCAACGGCATATCCAGCGACACCGGCTTCAATCAAAGGTCTTATGTACTTACTATACTGCTGGGGTTTCATGTTAATAGTGAAAGGACGTTCCATGTTCATGTTTGTAGATAGTCTTAGACAGTGAGTATCTTTGGAAAAACACCAGCAAAAAAGCTGGAGAATATTTTGAAAGACCAGTGCTGCGTATTCTTGATTTTAAGTGTCCTTCTATGCTAGCTGTTTATTTTGTATATAGTGAATATACTGTCTAGGTTTTATTATTTTTTTATTATTCTTTCTTCTTCTCTCTCTCTCTCTCTGTGATTTTTCTTTTTCTTATTTGAGTGAGAAATGCTCTCAATGTTACTTTTTAACATAACAGGGTTTGTATGTTGACTAACTGGTTGTATATAGATCCACTGTGAGCTACACTGCATAAGCAGTTTTTGGTTTAACTAAACGTTGAATGAGGCAAATATGACACTCTTTCCATGAAAAAAAAACTTAAATTGGTCATGGTAGAGAGGGGATCTGCCTTATTAAATGCATTATTAAAACAAAAAGCCTGGAACCATGTAAACTTAACTTTTCTTCCGTAGCAATGATTATGGATATATTTGGTCTATTCACACATAATTTTGATCTAAATTATGTTAAAGAGTACAATCCGCTGAAACTGAATGCTTTTGTTAATATTTTATGAGTAAAACCTTTTTTTTTTATCCTGCCACATGCTCAGAAATCTTCAGCTAACTTCTGAAAAGAATCATAAATCATTCCTCTTAAGTGCCTTCATGTGTAGACAGTGACAATAATGCAGTTTTCAATCACTAAATGCTGTAGCAGTTAATTGGAATATGCAGAACAATTTTTCTAATTCACTTCTAATTCATCACTCTTAAATCAGGTCAATATTTAGAAAAGATCAGGTGTTTGAGAGGAATGATAATGTTCTGCGCTCACCCACTGTTTTGGTCACACATATCTGATCATTTTTTTGTAAATAGACCTGTTGTTGTGAATTGATTTTGGGGAATTCTTTTTTTCTTTCTTTTTGACGTAGCTATTCTATTATGTAATAGTGCCTAAATGTAGATTGAAATAATGTTTCAGGAGGACAGAGCACTATAGTGTTATTTCAGCAGATGGAATCAGAGTTTTATAGTTTCACTAGACACATACGATATATAATTGATTTTTTATAGAAAGTTAGAAAGCGAGGTACATTTCGAGTCACAGCCCAATTCAGTCCTATATCCCTACATATGGAGTACTGTGAGGGGAACAGAAAATAAGGTAGCCTATTTTGTGGGTTTGGGAAAAAAAGCAGGGCGAGCTGTACCAAATACTGACTGCCAAAAGAGCATTTTCTACAATTCCAGTATTATTCTGCTCTCAGATCTTTCTTTTTTTTTCTTTTTTCTTTTTCTTTTTTTTGTAACTCTTGAGAAAGATTTTTTTGGAGGCTGAGTTCAGATGTTTTTTTTTTTTTTTTTTTTTTTTTTTTTTTTGTGGAGTTTGTGGTTGTTTTGGAGACAGCTGGAATTTTAAATGAAACATATTTCATTCACTGAATTCATGTAATATCCCATTGGTTTGGGACCGGTACAAATCCTGTGTGAATTCTTGAACAGTATGTTTGTGATTAATAAAACTCACTTCTTAAAATCAGTATGTTGTCTTCATTTTAAAATGAATTCATCGTTTTCTAAAATAGATTTGACATTTATTATAGATTTTATATATATAACTATATAATTATTATTATTTATTTTTTGTTGTTGTGTTTCATTGTTGAATATAAATGGAAAACAAAAAAGGATAATTTGAAGAAGCACTCAGGGATTTGTACACATAAAAAATAAACAATGCTTTACAAAATCATGTACACTCCCATGAGATGAAGGCTCTCAGCAGGCTAATGACCCCCAAAACCACCCCTTTTTCTTTTTCTATTTGACATGGAACGGTCGATCACCTCATGGGAGCTGCCATATGCAGCCGAGATCACATGACCGGCAAAAAATTTCTCACATTATCACATAATTCCCCTGTTTTTCGTCTTCTCTTCACTTGGTGAATAAATTCAGCTTGTCAATATAAGTAGGCGACTGCTAACAGTCAATGGAACATGAACAAAAGCATGAGTGCCCCTTTAATTAATTTGAGAGACCGATACTGCTTTTGCCGATATTAGCTAGTCATGATGATAGTTTGGTTTCAGATCAAAAGGGCAAATAAATGGTTTCGCTAGTCCACAAATGGCTTTCATTTATAATATTTTGGTTGTTGCTAAAACTGCCCACTCTTACTCCCCCTTAAGCACACAGTTACGTATGTGTCGGACACAAATCCACTTGTTACACCCAACAGTCGCCTCAGATAGGATTTGGAGGTAACCTGATTAACGAGCTAGTCCGAACCAGCAGCTCTGCTGAAGAGCCATGACTGAGGGCTTCACCTCTAATCCACTGACCTCTCTGGTTGTTTGGTCAGTAAACAGCTCTGGATCTCTGGACCTATCTACTACAGTACGGGATGTGCTACTCAATAGTTTGGTAAAACAGCGCACTCTTTCTGGTGCAAAAAGAAAACGAATTCCCAGTGTGGAAATGTGGAAATGTATTTCCCAGTAGTTTTTTCTGTATGACCGTGTAAACTACAGTATATGATCTATTGCTGCTTCAGAGATTATTCATAAATCCTTTGATCCATGGTGCATTATGAAGTTACAGTTTTTTTTTATTCGCTTTACTATTTTCACAAGTAAGGTGTACATTTTCAAAACTCTTAGTGCTACTGCTAATATCACAACAACAGATCATCAAAAAGTGCACTTTTTTCAAACATTTCATCATGTTTTCAATTGTGTCAGTACAATACACGAAAATCACAAGGTATCCTTTTCACAACACAAAATAAGTATTTCATCTAAAGGTTTTCATTCACAGTAACTGCCTTTCATAAAGCTCTTACTATCAAACTTTTGTTTTGCATCTCTTCTTGTTCAGTTTAATACAATGGTCTATTACAGTTTTTCTCAATTGCTTAAACACAATTTCTGAATCATTGCTCCTTTTTCTGAAAACATTAAACACAAAACCTCATCTTCAAGCACTATTTACAAAACCTCTGACTCTTCTTGCAAAATGAAACTTTCGCCTCAAAAACAGTTTTACTTGTGTTCAAAATCAAACACTGCTCTCAAATCATAGACAAAGTGATCAAAATGATATACACTATCAAGCAGTCAGTAAACAATACACCAAAAAAATAGAAAAACAAATTGTTCAAAACATACAGTTCTCGAAAGATATCTACGGACGGCTATTCTGTTTGTAGACTTACCCGTGACACATTACTGTACCCATCAAAAGTTCAGGGAGGAAGTCCATTTTTAATCCTAAAACAAATTTCATATTTGTCCGTCATTGTCTTTTGATGAATGAAAACATCATAGAAGCGCAAAAATTGATCAGAAATTACTACTCTGCTTTGCTCTTTGCAATTTTATTTGTTCTTCCTCCTCCTTTGTACCCCTATTTTTTACAGTACAGTGCCCTGCATCTCACAAAACTTCTCCTTTGTCAGTTCTATTGTTTGATACTGTTATTCTTGTTCTTTGTTGATATGAACCTGCAACCAGTAAAATCTATTGAGGATTCAGTACTTGTAACAAAATGGTTACTGTTACAGTAATGATGTTCGGGGCCATATAATTTGTTTATTGTACAGTATACAGCCTACAATGCACTCTACTACATTGTACAATACTAAAAGGGACAAAAATCAAAGGAGTAAAACGTGATCATTTGTGCTTCTTCTTGTCTTTTGGGCATCATTTGAAACAGGTTAAATCAATTTTGAGTGGTTGTGTTTCAATCAATGACATGTGTTCTCTATTTGTATTTGAATCATTGCCACTTGTGTTTACCAGTATGGATGACGTGTGCATTACAGTGCAGAATATGTTTTGAGAATGAGAAATGTGTTAAGCGTTTACTTGCTGAAAAGTCTAAGTAAGATCTGCAAATTGTGTTTTGCCATGTGAAATAGTTTAAGGTATTGACAACAGACTGCACAATTAGCTAAATGAGTTCAGGCAACTGAGAACTTTGTTCAGCCAATGGGTTTTAGTGTTTTAGCAATTGAGAAAAAACTGTATTTAATCCAACTGATCTTAATGGTTAATCAATTCATCATTCTGTACACCTATAGATTTCTATAGATATTGATTCTATATAGAACTTGTTTGCAATTTCCAATATGGATAACCAAATGTGTGATGAATTATTTTTTTTTTACATAAGTGATTTATAGATTAATAACCACCACGTATGTTCAAAGTGAGAGTGTGTGTGTAGTGAGAGAGAGAGAGAAGAGAGAGATGAGAGAGAGAGAGAGAGAGAGAGAGAGAGAGAGAGAGAGACTGAGAGAGAGAGAGAGAGAGAGAGAAGAGATGAGAGAGAAGAGAGAGAGAGAGAGAGAGAGAGAAGTTGCCATTTGTGAACATAAAGCAGAATAGAGTATAAGGGAGAGGAAACAGTCAATGACTGTAAAACATCAGATTGATCAAGAGATGCTTCAGTATCAGGGTTGACAGATGGCATCAAATACAGCATTTTAAATTACAGTATGTATGCCATGATGTGATACTAAAACATGGTAGAGACTGCCACATTACTGTAACTCAACCTTCATCTGTAATGGTCAACTACAGTATAGATATGGCCACAGTGAAATCATTTACTGTATTGCCAGCAAACTCTGTTAGCACAGAACCTCATGGCTGTGTCATACTTCATCACACCTTTTTGAATAACACACTATAGATACTATTACAAACATTATGGGTTCAATTACATAAGTTTGGTAATGCAAGTGTATTTTCTAATGTGGCAACTGTAGCCTGCTTACTGTAATTATTTCAGCAACAAGAGTGAAGATCATACTGTTGTGTTTCTGCGATTAAAACCAAATGTTCTCATTACATATTACAATAATCTTGTGTTTGAAACAATGGGTTATGTGGACTGAAAATGTATTATGAAAGCATGCATCAGGTTTTGAAAGAATGACTAGCTGTGTTACAAGTGTGATCTAAGAGTTTTGAAAATGTACACCTTGTGAAAATAGTACCAAAGCGAATAAAAAAAAAAACTGTAAGTGTTTTGTAAAAGCAAGTAGGTTGCATTGGCCCTGATGAGATTTGCTGATAAATAGGATTAGTGTTCTCTATGATTTATTACTCATATAATATTATAGTAATACTATTTCTAAATATTTATCCATGTCATTTTATGTAGTATATATATTATGTAGATATATATATAGATATTGTCATGAACTGCTCGGTGGAAACAGACAGTGGTGATCCAAATGCAGGCTTTATTGACGAGGACAATCCAGAAACAGGTACGAGACAACAGGCAGATGTCAAAAACCAGAGTGAGCAGTCCAGATCAGCAAACATATAATGCAAGGATGAGGCAAACGGGAAGACCAGAAACAGGCAGGGAGTCCAGGAAACCGTGAAACTAGGAAAACACTAAGGAACTAGGAA